AATTTGCAGCATCGGCTTTTAGCACAACCTAACCAGGAGATCAAACTCCGGGTTTGGATATAACCGACGGGATACAATAAATTAGCCATAAATGGCTATCCGGGAGGGACAGCTGACGTGCCCCCTGGTTGGGCCCAAGAATAGGAATGCTCATCTTCCCCTCGCGTAATACAGGTGGCATTTCTCTAACTTTCAGGTAGAGTACCTATTTCTGCGTCATAAACCTAACCCAAACCTTAACCACAGCCCTAATAATAACCCTAGCTCTACCGATAGAAGTGAAACGGCGAGCTTTAGAACGTTGTTCATCGCTGATAAGCTATCCTGCATCTTCACTTAAGGGCTGCAATCGCGCGCACTTATCCAGTTGCTAGGATAGGACTATTCTTTTCAAGCCCTCCACTTCTTCGCCTCGAAGGCAAGAATAGACTCTAGTTCCAGAACTCTCTAATGTGCATCTACGTCTTTACTTGCTCCTGTGGAGCAGTTTATATCGGTCGAACTAATAGGCGTCTATCCAAGCGAATGCGAGATCATCCCGGCTGGCTAAACCAGGAAGTGGTGAAATTCATATCCAGCGCGATTTTGGCTCACTTGGTTGACAGTGGTCACTGAATTGAAGTCAACCAAACTTTCGAGTCGTTTATAAAGTGCTGATGAAACACTTCAAGTCCCTGCGTTAGAGGATACCTGCGAAGGCAGAGACAGTTGCCATACGGATAAATAATCCGATTTTATGCGCGAAGAATACGCTTATACAGGCGGTAAGTCTACCTTGACCGAAGGCTAACTCAGCATGCGTCTTCACACCTCCTACCTCGTCGCATTACATCGACGACGCAGCGACACGACGTAATTGTCGAACTCTCCTCCCCTCCCCATGATTTCACCATCCACGTCAGATGTTGGCGTGATCATTACTCTGCAATTGGGATCGCTTTCACCGGAATTGTTGGTTGTCTGCACCCTCCTTAGATGGGTGCTTCCTCGGCCTAGGCAATATCTCGGTACCGAATATAGGCGCGGAGATCACTCGCACTTAGGAATGGACTGTGGACATGAGAAGCGCTCGGCTCAAGCTGTTGTCACCTCTTCCGAGGATTTCGGCCTCATGAAACGTGAAAGAAGGACGAGTTCCCATCAAGCCAGCTGCAACCTGAGGTCTGTCGTCAGCCCTTTGCACTGCTCCTCCTGTGCCTCCAGTACCCTAGTGTGAAAATGTTTCTGATGAGGGCGAATGAGAATCCGAAACTGCAGGACAATAAATTTCCTGTTCCAGCGATCGACGTGTTATGGCACTCTATTTCAGTCTTATCAACACAGTCGGACAACGCAGCTCTTCAGTGCGTGGAGAGTCACGTTGTAGACCCTTAGCCTGTTGACTCCGCCATTTGAATCACTTAATGGACGGTGGCGGCTGCGGGGAACACAACTGTGTGGAAGCGCAGAGGGTAGGGCGCGAGATGGAAGTGTGGTCAAAATGAACGCTTACCACATGCAATTTGGCCTCTGCTGAGACTGTCACGTCCCCTCCACACTGTTCGCCCACAAACCCTATTACCTTATAGACCCAGATTTTTATCAAAGAATAGTCTGTGCTGTTTTTCAGAAAAAAACTTTACTGATTTAGGGATTTGAGGTATTCTTTTCACTTATTTATTCGATCA